CTGCAGCCTGATGAATTACACGAGACATCAGCGCAATTCACTCGCCCTCCTACTGTCACATGCAATAAACGCCTGCGTGTCATATATAGTGATCGAGCTCATTTTAAGGTCTGACTGACGTTTGTGCAGCAGTGAATCTCAACGAAAGCTCATGGGAAACCGCACACACACACACACACACACACACACACACACACACACACAGCGCGGATGAGAGTGTGTTGTCATGGGCAACCGCTGGACCAGAACTGCGTACAACCCGTCAGACAGATGAAAACCAGACCTGCAGAATCACACACTCGCAGCCGCTGGAGTCCACGACGGTTTCCTTTATCGATCCTTAATTAACTGTATTTTCAATAAATATTTTTCAGTTACTAGTCAAAGTACTAACACACGTCACGGCCCACACCTTTCAGTAAACACACTCTCACCTCGTGTGCCTGCAAATAAATAAATAAATAAATATATATATATACAGTGGGTACGGAAAGTATTCAGACCCCCTTACATTTTTCACTCTTTGTTATATTGCAGCCATTTGCTAAAATAATTTAAGTTAATTTTTTTTCCTCATTAATGTACACACAACACCCCATAAAACTGCAAAGGTCAAAAAGCCTTCCAAAGTCTAACATATTTTTAAGATCATACTTTATGATGTTAGTTTTAATAAATTTAAAAAAATTGTAAAAATCAAGGAAATTTCTCTGGTATTTCTTTGTTTTTGCTGTATCGAAAACGTACCGAATTTTGTGAAGTGTTACACCCCTAATACATATATATATATATATATATATATATATAAATATAAATAAATATAAATAAATATCATAGGTTGCGTTAGACTTTCTCATTGTCCGTCATTTTGACGGACAGGGTCGTAAAAAATCCGTCATAATTTTAAATGACATCATTATTACCCGTCATTTTAATTTTCATATTTTCTAATAGCTTTTGTATTCATTCACATATTAATCAACTTACAGGACGAGCATATAGGCTAAATTATTAATTTATTTATTCATGAACAGAGCAAATGAACAAAAACAATTTCATGTTTTTTTTTTAGCACTGACAGTGGGGGGAATTAAAACACGACCATTTATGCCTGAACAGATATAAACAGTGCAATATATTATAAAATATAATTCCGACTACAATAAGAACATAACTTAGAAATGAAACTAAATTCAGTCGATGTTCTGTAGGCCAATCTGTCTGAACTCAAATCTTCCTCCTGCTCCGCATCGACTTGAACTGGGTGCTCGCCTGTGCGTAATCAAACGCATCAATGGAGACTGATGCAGAGGCAATTGTCATTCAATTCTGCGTCAACAGCCAAGACATCAGACAACAGGTGAGTTAGGGCAGGGAATGTGTATGTTTGAATGCGCTTTCTAATACCCTTAGCTATCGGGCAGTTTCTCGAGTTTTCCTCATCCTCCAACTCCAATACTAGAGAAACCCAGTTGGCACGTATGCACTTAACAGCCCTCTCCAATGACAGCCAGCGTGTAGCTGATGGTTGTTTTACACAACATTAAGCAGTGTCTTTAATGCCTCATTACAGGCAGCCTTTGATTTTTTTTTCGACATGCTTGACCATTGCCACGCTCTGGTTGACCACCTGTGAAGCTTCAATGTGGCTATGGCTACTTTTATGATCATTCAGTGCTGATTTCTGCATCGTTGTGCACCCTCGGACAAATCCGTTACTCGTGTTAGCTTTTCTACAGATGTCGCAGAACATTTTATTAACAATATCGCAACTCTTTGGCCGTTTGAAGAAACTTCTCACACTCAGCTGCCGTGACATTTTTGCAACTGTATGCAGATGAGACAAAGATGAGACAATACAAGATAATTGCTAATTAATAAGGGCAATCACCATCAACTGGACGGGAGTGGGAAATACAGTTACAAATTACAACAGATCGCCCTCAGCGTAATCTGTTAAAATGACGGATGGCCTTCCGATTTTTCCATCACTGTTAAAAAAAATCTGTCAATGACTATACGGCATTCACATTACATATTTTTACTGATTTTTACGTAGAAAGGGCGACAGTGCACCGCATTAAAAGAAATGATCATTCATGTTTTAATAACCGCTGGCCAAATTCCAAAACAAAACTAAAATGAAATCATCTTTGAGAGCAAGGGGGCCCCCTGGTGTTTTGGAGGCCCTACGCAGCTTGCGTATTTTGCGTATAGGGAGGATCGGCACTGCTTGGTGTGATCTTGGTCCGCTCTTCTTATACTCTCCATAGTTTGGTGACTGTAGTGGGTTTCTTAGATCAGGACTCTGGGCCGGCAATTTCATTATTTCAATGTTTTCAGCTTTAAGGAACTGTGACGGGGAGCTTTCCACTGATGTATGGTTTGTTAGGATAGCACAATATTTGGCCGAGATACAACTATTTGAAAATCTGGAATCTGAGGGTGCAAAAAAATCTAAATATTGAGAAAATCGCCTTTAAAGCTGTACAAATGAAGTTCTTAGCAATGCATATTACTAATCAAAAATTAAGTTTCAATATATTTACGGTAGGAAATTTACAAAATATCTTCATGGAGCATGATCTTTACTTAATATCCTAATGATTTTTGGCATAAAAGAAAAATTTATAATTTGTATAAGAGACCCAACTCCTGCTGCAGAAACCATCCCTCAAACCATGAC